TCGATGAGAAGACGCATGCAGCAGGCATGGAAGGATGTCTCAAGAGCGTCTTGCTTCAATTCAGACTTTTATCCAATCTGACGACGCTTGACAGAAATTATGAACAAACCAATATTCACGCCAAAATGATTGTAGTCGGATTTCTAACTAGTTGGTCAATTCATTCTCAAGTTCTTGTGTGGTCGACAGCTGTTTGCGTTTGTTGTTGATCATGCAACTGTAGGCCACCGATCTTTTTTTTTGCTCTGGCGTTCCAACAACCTTTTTAATTGTCTTCTCTTCCATGAATTCCTGCACGATGGAAAGTTCTTCCAGCCCCGGAGATTGTCTAAAAGTGGGCGATTACAACGGCCCAAGAAGCCGCCCAACCAATCCAGGACTAAGTTCAAGCGGTAAAGTTTCTGTGACACCGCATTCTGGATGTTTTCTGCATCTGTCCTCTTGCTGGCCTGACAAAGAAACGCTACAATCTGATCCGAAAGCAAAGGATTGAGATAGTCAGTCAACATTCATCGCAGTTGACATCAGTTCAGTACATGTTTCTACGTGTTGTTACCAGAGTCGTGTGTTCTGCGCGCCTCTCCGTGCCTCCAACTTCCACTTGCACCACATTTCGGCCATATCCAGCTCCTTGTCCTCTTCTGTCAAAAGTAAGCTATTTTTCTGTTTCTCCATCAATTCCTCCAGTTCGCCGTAAGTGAGCTCATCATCAGTTCGCATATCAATGGGTTCCTGAGCTGGCAGTTTGGCTTTGGCATACACTGGCGCTTTCTGCTTTTCTTTCTTCCCTCGGACAGCTTTCCATCCTCCGCCTACAGCATTCACACCAGGAGAGAAGAAGAGTCAGTGCCACTTGAATCAACATCGTCATCAGAAGATACAATATCAACCCCCATCCTCTCCAATGCTACATTGCTAATTGCTGGAACAACAACTTCCCTGCTCCTGGCCAGACTCGTCAATGATTGCAGGGCTTGGAATTACTGCTAAAAGTCTTGTTTCCAATGACATCAATTCTTGCTTCAGAATCATTATCCTCCCTGAAGGGGTTGATATGACGCTGTACTGCTGCGTCGATTTCTGCAATGTTGTTGGGAGTTGGTGTGGTTGGGGTGGATCGAAGAGCAATGAAACCAAAGATTCAAGAGTAACCGGTGCAGCGACTGTTTTGGACCGTTCTTCGTTTCAAGATGCCAGCCGCAACAACGGCTCCCGGGTCACGGTACCAGTTTAGGAGATTCTTAGCAGCCATACACAGTAAGGCCACTGCGGCAATGATCCCGAAAGAGGAAAACAAGGTGAGAGAGAAGTGCTCGTACATTAGCAAGGTAACAGAGAATGATCACGGTTGCCCCCAATCACGACGACAAGATCGAGAGAAACTCTTTTTAGACAAGATCGAGAGAAACTCTTTTTAGACAAGATCGAGAGAAACTCTTTTTAGTGGTTGGAACACATACATCACAAAATTAAGAGTGAAATAAATGATGATGAAGGTAAATATGTAATATAACAAGGGAGGAATGGGGAGAGTCACGCCCAAGACATCTCTGGTTCAAAGGAAGGGAATTGGGACATGAGGGAATTGGGACATGAGGGAATTGGGACATGAGGGAATTGGGACATGAGGGAATTGTCAAGAGCTGGCAAACTGTTTCGATTGCCTAAATAGTGCATAGAGTGACATGAGGCACGCTATTGAGACATACGGACAAGAATCTAGTGCAATTTACCACTTCAACCTCGTCAACTAATCGATTTTAGTCCATTCGGAGCTGTGGCAGTGTTAAAGATTTAGTAAGACAGGTTGAAAAAATTCAACACCAAGTTGTCGAACAACAGGATAAAGAAAAACCCTAAACAAAGGGTCAACGCGGATCTAAGCAGCGACTAGTGAAGGGACTGGTACCAGCCCCAATGGAACGATAAAAAGGTATTCTGCCCGGAATGAGGAATCGTGAATCCTAGAAGAAGAGAGGGGATCACCAGAGTTAAGAAAATTAAGGAGGGCCTGGCCAGTGTTAAGAACATAGAACCGGAAGAGTATCGCACAGTTAGTGCAGAAAGCATTTCTTTGCGCTAGTCAAGAGAGTGATTCGTCGCAACCTAAATTGTTGTAACGAACTGCACAATCAGTGCAGTATTGCCTTGCTTCTTGAGGAGATTGCATGGATATTCCTGCAATATACGAGGAGATACGCAGTACCTCAGCCTCCTACCGATAGATAAGAGATGAAGAGAGATCAAGAAGTAAGATACATATATTTTTGGTCAGTTATCGTGTTATTGCCCTTCTTGCCTTGGTACAACTCAGTTTTATTCAATGGACAAAAGGGAGGCAATAAGTGGTAAATATTATCATCCCAAACGTCTTGAAACACGGACCAAGGAGTCTAACTTATGTGCGAGTACAAGAGTGACAAACTCACGTGCGTAATGAAAGTAATTGTCAGGATGGGTAACCTGCACTGACGCCCGGCTACCAGGCTGACCCGAAAGATGGTGAACTATGCCTGAGTAGGGTGAAGCCAGAGGAAACTCTCAGGACACGGTAATTTAAATTATGAACTGCAGGACATCCTGCGGTTCCCTGGTTCCCATGCTTTTGTTGTGTATTTCTGACCCCATGTAACATTATAGAGTGGATGGCTACGAACTGCGATTTGCTGTGCTTTTCTTTTCTTCATTATCTTGTTTCGCGATCTCACCATCAGTTCGCCAATATTCTATTGGGTTGATGATTTCTCGTCCAAGACGCCCCTCTTCACCTTCATTTCATGGGAGGCAGAGAAACTCGGTGATGCGATTCTCCTCTCGTTGATTCGATGATGGAAACACAATCGAGAGACAAACGCCATCACTGAAGAGAAAAGAGTTACGGGAACGAAGACGGGAACATTTCGCATCGTATCCTGAAGTATCTATTGGATGGAAGACAAGGAAAGCCAGACGGTGCAAAGAGAAGCAAAACTAACTCCGTTATTCAGGCAATAACAGCTTCCTTAGTGAAGATCAATACTGAAGAAGAGTGCAGCGTTGGGAACAAGCCAAACTACCTGCGTTATTCAGGTCAAGGAGTGAAGAGCACTACCGAAGAAGAGTGCAGTGTTGGGAACAAACCTGAAGGGAAGGTCAGTATGTGCTGGAGCTGATTAAAACGACGTTACTCGAGCTGTTAGACGCTAATTGATTCTTTCTTTGTTTTCTCAACAATTTTGTTCGCGTTATAGTCGCTAAAGAACTCTCGTAGTGGAAGCACGAAAACTTTGTTGATGTGACATAATAGTGTAACCGACACAAAGGAGAAGAATTCGATTGCGAATCACGCATGTAACAAATGCAAAAACTGGGCGAACATTCTCATACAAGAAGGGCGAGATCTAAGACGAGGAAGAGGTAGAGAGAGGCAAGGCTTCTCGCTTCTGTGTTGGTGTCCTGCTATTTCAATCACAGTTGTGGCAGCATTGCTCGTCCTGTTGGTGGCTTCATTTATTACATCTTAAAAACCGACCAAATGTGTGAAAGCGAGCAGGGTTTGCCCAGTGCTTATGATTCCAAAACATAGTGAGTTCTTGTGTTCGAAAAAATGGGTTTATGAAGGTTGATCAATTTGGAAGGAAGGAGCAATCGGCTCAACCTTCACATTTGCTGCATTCCAAGCGCCTCTTTTGACGGATTGGCTTCCTTATTCCTCTGAGATCAGCCGGACTGAACCAGACGGCTCACGATGATCAACCACAATTCGTCAGTTCACTCTCCCCATACGCCACTCCCCAAAATCCAATCTTGCCTGGCCAATTCAATCTCAACCCTAGCTATATACATTATATATATGTATATATATTCAAAATTCTCATTCAGGATTCGGACCATTCAAGACTTTGAAATTCTTTTCAAGATTGTTGATCTCAGTTTTTGAATTAGTTTTTATATTTCTTCTCCCACGTTTGCTTTGGCTTTCAACAAGTTCACATTGTTACCTCATTGAAAAATTATCAATCGATTCCAAAAACTGGAAGGGATTGTAATATGAAGAGTTTGACGTTGAAGTATTTGACCGGAACAGCCGAAAAGAAAAACTTGCGATATCTCAAGTATCAACCACCACAACGTGAGGACCAAATTCGACAGAAATGGAAGGACCTTTGGTTGCAACAACAGAAGACAAAATCCGCAGCATCCAACCAAACGAAGCCAAATATCCAAGGGACAGACAAGGATACAAGAGAACGATCATGAATTCAAGAACATTCAAGTCGAGAGGGCCTCCATTCTAGCCGTCATGGTGAAATAGTCCCAACCTTCAGTGAACTGTTCAAGATCATTATTCTTCTGCTTGTAGCAGCGTGTTTGTATTGGAAGGGCCTTTTTGCGAAATTGAAGTTGTGGACCATAAAAGGGACTCCAATTCATTCAGTGCCTTTTTGCAATACCATACATTTGGCTACCTTAAGAGAGTCATAGTTACTCCCGCCGTTTACCCGCGCTTGCATAACAGGCCTGCTTGATCTTGTGAAAGCGATAACGGCTAGCGCGGGGTAATTGCCCCCCACCCCTGGTCTGGCGCTGGCGGACGGCCATTGCTATCTCTTTTTGGAAATACTAAGAAAAGGACCGAAAAGAATTGCACAGCGACGTAGCGATTCACATGCCATCACCACAGCTAGCCGCTATGACCGGCAGTATGAATATATTGGTCTCTTCGCAATTGAGTTCCGTGGAGTAAAAACGTGCAACACAGTGCGCTGACACACAAAGGCAGCCGCTTCTGATGGTTGAACGCAGTGAAGTTTGAGGTGATTTCATCTTGGCATCATTTGCTGCTGGCGAAGTGAACTTGCTTGCTTCTTTGCATTCAAGGGGTTGGGGACAACAAGCTCAAGTACGTTTCGGGTTTTTCAGCCATTGGAATGCCAGCCAGTTCAAATATCTTGTGGTTATTGTCATGGGACACAGTTCGTCTATTCAACAGATTTAAACTGTTCACGGAGAATGATTCATCAGAGACCGTAAAATTCGAATGTTCTCTCATGACGTTTCACATGAGACTTCCACCCTTTTTCGAAGTCTTTTGAAAGAATGATACATCTGGAAGAGATTGGAGAACGATTCACACAAAACATTCATTTAACTTACCGATTTTTGCGAACAGCGTGCATTCCGGCTTCCTGACAAATTGCAGCAATATCAGCAGCTGAGACTCTCTCTGGCCGAGAAACAAAATCTTCCAAATCAACCTCATCCGATAAGCTCATCTTTGCCGTAATGGTCTGCCACTCAAAAATAAGGCTCACCAAAATCTAAAAACCCACCTGGAAGATTAAACGCCGTTGTCGACGATCAGGGAGTGGGAATTCAATTTTTCGATCCAAACGCCCTGAACAAAAAGAATTTGAGCGACGAGCAATAAAGAGACAAAATACCAGGGCGAAGGAGGGCAGGATCCAACGTGTCAGCTCTATTTGTCGCCATGATGACTTTCACAGATGTCGCTTGATCAAAACCATCGAGCTGATTCAAGAGCTCAAGAAGAATACGTTGAACTTCGCGATCCGCTCCCGTTTGAGCGTCAAAACGCCTGATTCGAGGAACATTTTCGTAATTGGGACAATGGCAAGCCAACGAGAGGGACTATTAGAATGACAACGAGTAGAGTAATGAGCGTACTTCGTGGCAATCGCATCAACCTCATCAATAAACACAATTGATGGGGAATTCTCACGAGCAAGACGAAAGACATCCCGAACCATTCGAGGTCCCTCACCCAAATACTTCTGCACAAATTCCGATCCAACAACACGAATGAACGTCGCCGTGGTGTGATGAGCCACAGCCTGTGCAGCAATGATTGACACATTATTTGGACACGAGTGACACATTATTAGGACATGATTAACACATCATTGGGACATGATTGATATGGTTTACCTTAGCGAGCATCGTTTTTCCCGTTCCCGGGGGTCCATAAAGAAGAACTCCTGTGGGTGGATCTATTCCAATCTGTTGGTATAAATCGGGACACGTTAATGGAAGTTCGACAGCCTCTCGGATTTCCTGCTTCTGGATATCCATTCCTCCGATATCCTATGCAAACATAATTCAGCCATTAATCAAACGGACTCGCACCATTGATTCATCACAGACAACAGACTCTCGAAAATGGACCATCAAACAAAAACAGGCAATCACTTACTGAGTACGTCACTTTTGGTTTCTCAGTCATTGTCAGCATTTGAATTGAACTATCAGCTTCGGGAGGAAGAACATCAACAATGGAATGAGAGTGGCGATGAAGGGCAACCGAGCAAGAAGGCTTCAACAATTCCCTAAAAAAACAAGAACATCCAAAATGTGTCTGTTTAATCATCCTTCAAATCATCTCTCCAGTATTTGTTTGAAGCTGCGCCCTTCATCGTTACGAGATCCGAGACAACCATCGCTGATAAGTTCGCGTACCTATTCAGTGTCGATAGAACTCTAACATAATAATTGGATCCCGCCGTTGAACTTGCAATACCGTGATTTTCATCAATCATTTCCAAAAACTGTCCAATCACCAAAGGAACACTACGAATCCGTAATATCTCATTTTTCGCGTGAATTAATTCTCGCTTTAGACTTTTTTGATCATCTCGAATATAATCATCCTGTAATTCAAGAAATCCCAATTGCGTCTCCAATTCCTTCATCAACAAATACAAATCGCCTTCGCCCTTATTCGTTTTCATTGTGGCCACTCCAACTTCTTGTGGGCCGGGACTTCCTATGACAGCCATGTTTCACTGATCAGGACCAGTTCTGGTTTATCAGAATGTTTTGATGTTCCACTTTTCTCGACCGCATTGCGGCGGATGGACCAAAAAAAACAGTCCCGCAATCGAATTAGAGGAACCGGCAGACGAGGGGCCTGCAAAGCGTTTTGAACATCGACCTCCCGATTGTAGAAAGAAGAGGAGGAAGCTTGATGGAGTGCGAGGGATCGACGACGCGTCGTTCTAGTTGAGTTGAGCTGGGCTGCCCGGGATGTTGCGGCACCCGGATGTCCCAGAACTCGACAGGAAATCAGGCGGAGATTGGGATTTTCAAAGAAGAGGAAATTGAGACATGAAAATGAGGAACGGGTCACCATTCAAGGAATTGGAGAAATGGAGTTATCCGATGAATCGCCTGGTACACTTGTGTCGAGTGGAGAAGAATCATCAGATCAGGAGGAGATGCCTGAAGATGAGATCAAGCAAATAACGAAGAAGACCGAAAAAAAGCTATTGGAAAAGAAAAATGTTGATTTGAACACATCATTGCCCTCAAGGGGTCCGCCGATAGCGTTGGCAAAATCACCATATGCTCTCGTTAAGGGGTTGTTGCATCACTTGATTCTCTCATCCTTAGCGAGAAATGATCATCGAGATGCAATGCAGCTCATGTCTCTCTACTTGGTGGAATCTTATCGCCCATTGGCTCATGGAATTCCCGTCCAGTTCTTGCGTTTGTTGAATCGATTCCATAGGATGATTCCCGAATTACGTTTCAGCGAACTTCATACTGACCTGCTTTTGAAATGTTACGGCTCCCCTTCAATACTCGTAAGCATCAGAGAGGAACAAACAGCTCAGGCATAGGGCAGTTTGAGTCTATTATCTTCCCCTCAAATTCACGATAGTTATTATAGTTCTTAATTATTTGAACGCTTCCACTGTTTGTTCATCTGAGAGTGGAATTCCGGTGCTTGTGGATGGAAATCACGAAGCATTTCGCTAATGGTCTCTTCTGTGTATTTATAGAGGGACGACATCGTCATTAATGTCACTGCAATAAGGCTCGCTCGCTGTCAAGTGACCTGAAGCTCTTGAATTTCTGAACCAGTACGGCCAAGTTGTCCCAAAACTCACTAACTGCACATTTTCAGGCTTGCCAAGTCTGCTGAGCGCGTCACTTCAGGAACACTACGGTGCTTTGGGACAGTACGGCTCTGCAGAGCTCTCACAATCGTTGCTCAATGGATTTTGACGAAGGAATCGAATTCTCAAAAGAGACGCTATGGGACAATCAAATCCCTTCTAGCGACATATTCTCAAACTAAGGAATCCCAAGAAGCGAAAACGGAAATAGATGCAGGAGTTCATGCGTTATGGAATTCGAAAATTGTGAGCGAATCATTCATCAGCTTCAACAGCATTAATAATCCACTACATTCTTATATCCACATCTATTTCATTCTTATATCCGATTAAGGCTTCATTATTATATCTTTTATCAACATGAGGCTTCCACTTCATTGGTATTTCTCAGAGTCCTTCTACGTTTTTCTTGCGTTTGATTGTTTTGTTGACAATCGATGATGTAAGTTTGATCGAAGGTGTTAGAGATTCGATAATCTATCTTCTAGAATAATAAAGTGCAATTTATCTTCTAGATTAATAAAGTGCAATTATCTTTCAGATTGATAAAGTGTTAGCCATATTGGAGGATTTCTCTTCCATTTGTCCTCATCTTCCCGATATTCTTGAATTGAAGCTTCTTATGTTCCAACGACGTTCACGGGAATGGGCCGCCCCGGATTTTCTGTCGTCTTTGATTCACGGCAACGACGATCTCGATCTCATGGTCAGTTCATAGAAATCTTACTCTCCTCTTCAGTTCATAGAAACCTTACTCTCCTCTTCACTTCATAGAAATTTATAAACTGTCCATTCAATTCATTTTGTATTTCAACAGATTCGAACGACTCTAAAATACATCGATATCTGCCGGTATGTTTTTATTGATCCCTCTAGGACTCTCCTCAACTGATTTATAGAGGTGAACCCCAAAGTCTAACAATCGCACTTCAAGCATTCGACTCTATTCCTTTGGTCGATCGCCTTAGAATCCTTTTTCTATTTTTGAAATCAAATCGCTCTTTTGGCCCCGCTTGGAGATTATTGGTTGATGAGACCCTTGGATTCTTGGGAAGACCACAGCCCTCATCATCATCATCTTCATCATCAGCATCATCATCATCAGCGCCAGAAACATCATCATCATCGGGTATATCCGTTCATGTTATCTGGCATGATTTCGCTCCTTCTCAGAAGCTATGGCAATGTGGCAACTGGTCGATAACTTATTGGGACCATTGGACAAGCTGCTGTGGTATCGCATGCTTTTTGATCCTTTCCGTGAGTGATAGTTACACACATCGCCATCAGACGGTCTCTCTCTCCGGTCTGTATTTCCGATCCTCTGTATGCCCAGGGTCTTCGGTCTTTCTACTACGCCCCCGAGATCGTGTTTTCATTGTCCTTCTCTCTCCATTCTTTGTCTCTTCTTGGGACTCTTTCACCGCACTGTCCCAACTCGTTTCGTCGAGTTTTCCTTCTCGTCCGTCACTCGTCTCCTCGGACCCCAATTCGAGCCAACAGTCACTTTCCACTAATTCCTGCCTTTCCTCTGAAACGCTTCAAATTATTGAAGGTTTCCGGCACCTGGCGGATTTCGTTTTTTCATCATCGCTGGACCTCTTGAATGGAACGGAGATTCTCCTGTTGACTGAAGTTGCGTTGCGGCTAAATCCTCCCTTAACGATAGCAAACACAACCAAAGACGCATCAACTTATTGGAAACAATTTCATTCTTTTTGAGAGTTTGTTTTACTTGTTTTGAAATTGCGGGATGGACTCAGAATGAGAAAGAGGACGTTGCTGTAGAGAAAAACCACTAGCACAGAGAACTGCAGCAATAGAATTTTAACTAGGACTGCAAGCTTGGATGTGCCTTCACGATGGCCGTTATTCACTGGCTCCAACGTAATGTGAGACGGCTCCGTCGTTGTCATCCTACTGAGAGAAGGATCGCAATTCAAGCGTCTCCATTCCTTCGATTGAAATCATGCGAACGGTGTACTCCTTGTGGTGTTCGACTCTACTCGACAACAAGTGGTACGTCTGACGAAGACTTCACAAAAGCAACAAGCTCGAACGCTCCTGAGGAAAGCGATTCAGATTCTTCAAAGGGAAGCGAAAGTGATGGTTCAAAAGAAAGTGATTCTGGATTTTCATGTGAGAGAGGCTCTTCTGATGACGGCGAGCACATGGAACAAGGGCAGCGAGAAGAAGGACGGACAGAAGAAAAACCACAAAAAGAAGAAAAGGCTGAGTATATTCGGCCGAAGGGTGTTTCGCATTATGATGTTATCGGCGTCTCACGAGATGCTTCTACCCAAGAGATTAAGAAAGCCTACATTCTAAAAGCAAGAGAACTGCATCCTGATATCAACCATGAAGTTGATGCAGCTGATAAATTTGTAGATCTTCAAGTCGCGTACCATACTTTGTTGAGCCCGTTGAAAAGAAGTACCTACGATCAAACGTTAAAGCCTGAAATAGAGAGAAAGTAAGAAGAAATTTTCTTGCATTCAGTATTGTTCGAGTTGTAGAGTTCGACATACTGTTAAAATGGATAGCGACTATTGGAAAGACCAATGGAGGGAAGAAACTCCACAGCAAAAAGGTGGTGGCCCGAGATGAGCTCCATGATTTCTGATGTGCTCCTTTCATTCAGCGGAGAGACGAGAGCGCTATAAGCGTTATGCAGAAGGTGGGTTATTGCTGCTCTTGCTCTTTCATTGAGTGACCAGATTAGGGACCATGCGGCAACCAGAGGATATTACCTTCAAACTCCCATATTTGAGTGATGTCGCTTCCGTAGGAAACAAATTTCGTAATTTCACTATGTCTATCTGTTGTAGTACTTCATGATTCTCATTCCCATACTTTTTGGTTATTATATCAAACATAAATTGTTCACGCCGACAAAGGAACTTGATGTCGAGTAAGGGTTTTGGTATTTCATAAATGACTGGAAAGTCTCGATCATTCAAATATAACAATATAAGGATTCGTTATGATTTCATTCAGATATGATGATGTCATCACTTCAAGCGATTGGCGAGGGGTCAAGTATGTTGATTCATATCTGAATCCATTCACATTAGAATGGAATCGCCTGGATAAAAATCAACAGCCTCCAACACCAAAAGAATTACAATCAGTGAGTTCAAAACCCCCACGAACCATGAAGGGAGCCAATCTGTAGATTGCTCCAACATAATGAGTTCAATGTCACTTCTACATATGACATCGCACACAAGTCTGACCATTTGCCTTCTCAGCTTTATTGCAAACGTATTGGGCCGTTGGCGGTGGATGAAGCTGTGTACCCCTCCAAGAGTTTAACACGTGTGAAGATGCCAAAACATGAAACAACTCTCCCAATTCTTTTCAAAGATGAAGAATCAGGTCAGTTTGAAGCATCGAAGTTTGTCTCAAATCGTTGTTGCAGGCTTTCTGTTCGAACTGTCGAACGTCGTTAATAGAAAAGGCGTTTATAGCCGTTTTGTAATCGAACCATCTTGAAACATTTTTGGAGCCATCTTGAAACATTTTTCGATAACACTTCTGAACATTTTTTTCTTGGTTCTACTTTGATGGAAGATAAACTGATCAATCAATGATGACAATGATGATTATGACGAAATCCGTTTAATTCTAGGTTCTCCAGTCACAATAATTTATACTTCTCTACTTATTCTACTTGTATACTAAAAACCACAAAAAGCGTTCATGCATACGTTACCAGTATCCATAGCTGACTGGAAGTCCTCAAAACTCTCATACAACACCAAATCTGTCAGACTTCCTCCAGTATTACACGTAGGTCCCTATCTACGCCCCGCAAGACGTCATCCCAACGCGATCAGGTCATTTACAATACCCAAACCGGATGGGTTGTAAATCTTTATGCAACGGCTTTTCAAATTTTTCAAGGCCCTTCTGATGAAATTCGACCCTTCTGTTACGACGACGATGATACCGAATGCAGCCCGAAGAAGGATCCGAATGTTCCCGTAAGAGACTTTCTTTCGTGTTTATCTTTGTTTTATAAGTTGCAGATTGAAGCTCCAATCAGAGATCCCATTGGTGAATGGAAAGGGACACTTGATCAACAATCAGTAGACCTGCTCGATAATATTGGCGAGTTCACCTGTGGATGCTTTACGCCTTTTGGGGGCTATCTGTTGATAGGAACATCGAAAGGTTAGAGACAATAGGATGAAATTTCCGAGCTTGGTTTGTGACGGTGCTTAGCGATCTGTCTATCCATTGATCGATCTCTCAACATCTCTCAGCAGTTGGGCAATCTGAACTACTATTCCTCAGGAAATCTGGCTGTTTTTTCTGTTGCAAAAAACGATGATCCATCCAACGAATCCTCCGCGGCTCTGAGAATTGCTCCAGTGGTCTGGCACAATCTAAGCGGGGTGAGCGTTGAAAATCGTGGCGCATCAGTCAGATTCCTTTCCTCAGAACATCGTTAGTGATGCATCTGATGAGTCAGCTTACCCAGTAACGAAGATTTGTATCTGCTTCATGGAGTCCTCGGTCAATGATGAGGATGGGGAATCAGAATCCACATTTCTCGTTGGTGCAATCATGGGAGACAGAAACGCACTTCTGTTGGGTTGCACTAGCGACGGTCAAAGTATTTGGTTCATTGATATGATTGACACTCTGGAGTCGTTTCAGATCTCTTTCATGTCTTTGTGCGAGTGTAAGGATCTCTGCAAGTCGCTCTTTTTGTTGTGTGTTTGTTGATCAACAATAAAGTGTCTCGCACTCGTTGCGGAGATTTCATGGTTTTCGAATTCATGAATTTCGAATTCATGGCTCTTCAGGCGGCGTCAGAACGCGCAAGCAACCAACATCCCTATTCGGTGCTACAATAATTGTTGCAGTGGGTGGCCCCCAATTTGTAACCATCTATCAAGTGAGTGCCTAAGACGCAATTCCATTTGAATTTTTCCACTTTTAGGTAACAAGCGATACAAGCATTTTAATTTGCGAAATCGAATTAAATCTTTATCTCGATGCTTCAGCGATGTTGTCGTTATGCTATTCCGACAATTCTAGTTCCTTCTTTCCGGACTGTTTGACGACAAGTCTTGCACCATCGATGCTTGATTTGGGAATATTGGAAAAATCCGAAGGAATTTGTTGCACGGAAGTCGCGATTTTATGGAACGCTGGGGGCATTAATGGCATGGACTGGCTACAGCTACTTCATGTGAACAATGGAGATAATCGCAATACAGTTTACAAGATGGAAACTGCTGGAGTCGATGGCAAGATTGTTGGTGAGAGTCAGATACGCAAGCTATACGCTGTACGATTTGAACCTAGATGCGATACGCAATGCGACTTCGAAATTCTCTCATTTTTTCCCTTATTCTTCTTCAGATGCTCGCTTTATCTTCGGATCAACCTTGATTCCGGAAGAGGTTCAAACTTTCAATTCGAATCACAACTCAACGCGCCAATCATCTGTTTATCACAAGGCAATATGCGTCGTCACTGATCGCTCAATTGAACTTCGATCTCCTGACAATTTGTCGCTTCTTTATCGCGTCAAATTATCAGCATTTCACACAATTTCGGATCAAATAGCGTCTGATCTGCCGCAACAGTTCTCTGTAAGAAATTGTTCATCGTTTTGGAAAAATCATTTTTTCTTCAGGCCCTGATCAGCCCTTGCGTCAACCAATGTCTCATCATTCCCGCGGAGAAATCCCGCGATGAAATGGACTGCCAGTCTGTAGACGCACTCGAACAATTAATTCCTTTTGCCGCAGTAACACTTCTGTCCTCAAATGAAGCGTTTGAATCGCTCTGGCTGACCAGAAGCCAACTTGTCCCAAAACCAGAAGAGCAAACGCGGGAGTGTCTACCTGAAGGATATAAAGACCCTTTGGACCAGATCACACAACTGAAACATCAAGTAATCATCGCAAAGACATTAAGGAGATACAATGGTGCTCTTGTTTGAAATATTTTCAGATCGAAGTATCGGTGGAGCGATCGAAGCAATCACACACGCTGGAACCATCGTATTTTTTGCATCTATTCCGTCAACTGTTGTCTGTCTCTGAAGAGTCCTCAGGATCTATTCGTAACATTCTTCCATACGTTGCTAATATGGCAAGGGCAACAGCGTTCAGGTAAGTCAGCTGTTGTACATCGTCTTGGAACCTGAAAATATCTACCCGCGACATTTTGATTCTTTCCGTTCGTAGTTCCCCCTCGCATATTCGTTGCTTGTTAACGGACACTATGCTTCTCCTTCAAATGGCTGAGCAAACGATTTACGGGTCGGGAATCGGTGGATCTTCTGGGACAGCAATCGCTGACTCAAGACCTTCATTGCAGCTACAAAAGGCTTCCCATCGATTAACGACATTTGAACTCTTGGGACGTCAAGGAGAATGGGGGGTTGAAATTGAGGGATCCATCGATGAGGGTGCGGGATGGGAGCATGACGGTTCAAACTCTCAGGAAGGTAACAACGATTTTAGAGGGTCGCTAGCAGACAGAAGGCTTCGTTTCAGACGATCATGAAATCTTCGATTGGAGCATTTGGAGTCGTTTCTTGAAGTGTGATCTCGCAAAGTATTGTTCGCAGATTGCAAGTTGCGGATATCTCGAAAAACTTATCATTTTATTGAATCGTCATTGTGGTGATCTCGCTAAGGATCCCATGGATCGTTCGGAAAAAGTAAGGATCCATACGCCAAAGGATGTTGTACTTCTGGAGGAGTTCACGAATTAGTGGAGAAACTGTCTGCACGATTATTTCATTTCTCTGTAGATCCTCAAAATTCTGCAGAAGCTCCCGATTCGATCTCGCCATGCTCGCTATGAAGCTTTTCTTGGTGATTGGCTCCGCAATCAAATTTTGCCTTTGATGCGGCATCGGTGCGTCTCTGTTTAGGCTGATGTGTTGCACACTTCTTATTTTCACTTCTTTGTTTATTTTCATTTTTGTTCAGACAGCAATTTTTCGATTGGCTTTTCACGAGATCTGTGGCACTTGAAGCTTTATGGAAGGATCCACTCCCAGCGTTGGGATTTCTGCAAGCGATATTTCCAGACACTCAAGTACTTCGTCAACTTAGAATCCCAAACACATCAACTGCCTCAACCAATAAAATATTTATGAGATATTTATAAAATATTTATAAATATTTTCCCTCAGGTCGCTACGGAACGAACTGGAACGATTGAGTCCTGCGTGTATTCGGGGGCGTCGCCGATGCTTCAGGGTGTCCCAATTGTCCCCAGGGGATTGGGTCGCATCGACGGAATTTGGTGGTGGAACTGGGACAATTATGAATGACTTTTCACGTACTGAATTTCTCTCATCTCCACCATTGGAAGGAATTCGAACTGGTCCGTTTGCGGAAGGAGGGAAAGATAAAGAAGCAATTTACAGAGAAAAACAGTCAATAGAGCGTGTGATGCTATTCTATTGTATTCTAACTGAATGTTCAAATATCTGGTACGTCTTCATTCCTGATTGATATGGTGGATACTGATCGACGCTCGAGTCCCTTGCAATCATCTCTGTATTTTTTGTGTAGGAAACTTCACGAATTGAGATTGAGAGCTTCTGAGTTTATCGGGAAAGAATCAAGTGGTTGGGTTGATGTCGCTTACTCCTTATTGAATAGAGTCCAGCTACCAGAATTGTTGGAGGATGAAATTGGAGTGCACATCGAACCATTTTGTAATTCTCATGGTTTGTCATTGGATAGTGTGTTACTTCGCTACATTGAGGATGTTGTGAGTCGAATATCATCATGTCAAGCAATACATGCATTCATGCCATCAGCATGTCAAGCAATACGTGCATTCATGCCATCAGCATCCCAAGCAATACATGCAATCATTCCATCAGCATGTGATCTCAATCTTGTACGCTGTAGCTGAAACTCATTCGACACGATCTGAAAAACCCAGATTCAACCGACAGACTAAAAACGCTGGAAAGACGGTGAATTGTAGTGGCGTCTATTTCCCTGTCCAACATGTGTCCTCAGAGCCATTGCTCTCGTCAAATGTTTACGCACGGACGAATTCAAAGCACGCGCCCTCATTCGTATCATCTCTATGAATTTTCTGCCGGATCCCGACAGCGCGTCGTCCGAGATCGTTGAACTCGTTCAAGAGCTCCAAAGTTCGAAATCTCTGGTCAACACTCCCGTAAGGCGAATCGACATACACTATCGCGTTTAAGCAGGAGATAAAAGAATTCACACTGTCCTGGTTGTCGCAGGTGATTGCCGAACTTCAAGCCTCTTTGACAATTCGTGAAGTTCAGAGAATTTTCGATAAGTACGGGATTCGAATTGAGGCCGTTTTGCTGACGAAGCGCGGTCTCCTCACGTGTTATGTCGAACACCTAGCGTCGCTGACTTCATGGGGAATCGCTTCATATGAAGACGCATTGCGGTACGAACTCTACTGAGAGCTTAATGGCCAATTATCAATGATCAATGACGTGCCGCAATATATAATGACGATTTCATTCCCAATATTTCATTCTCGAGTGAATTAGAAAAATGAAGAGTGTAACAATTAATTGCTTCTATAAATTGCGAAAGTTGTTCCATTTTAATTCGTTCATTCCAGAGTGACATCCGAGATTCGATCCTATGATTCTCGCGTCGGACGTTACGACAGTTCGTCGTGGACTGAAGTCGATGTTGCGTATTGGAGGCTACTGGCAACAATACAAGATGCGAAGATGCTCAAAACAATTCAAGAAGATATTTTAAAACAATTATCTGATTCTACAAAAACAAATCAAGCAAAAATTAATGAGAATGTGTGGAGGCCCAATTTGATTCAGTAAGGAAGAAGAATCTGGAGCACGCTGGGTGATGACGATCAAATATCTTCCAATGAATGTTGCCAAGTTATCTTCTAATGATGTTGATGAAATATCTCCTGTCGAATATCTTCTTGATTCATGAATGTGTCGGCTTACAGGAATATTGATGAAATAATCCTATCCCGAATTTCAAGACCACAAGTGGAAGCCCTTTGCGAGAGATTCGTTGACTATGCGTTTCTCTATTTAGATGAAACGGCAGGATGTTTTCACTCGCAGGACGCTGAGTCGTTCTCCAATCGTTTGATCAAACTTCATCTGCACGAAGCCGCACGTGTTGCATCGACGACAGCCGCAGCGATCCATTTGTGTCAGAAAGTCTTGTCCGCAGGACGCGTGGCACCAAGAGGGACGCGAACGTCATCAGGACAAGTTCTTCTGGCGCCCTTTCTCGGGCACTCGAAATCCGAATCGAGTCGCTTGCAGACGCGCAATGAGACGCGGCTCTATCTGGACCGTCCTAACGCCTTAGAGACTTTAGAGAGATGCGATAGACTGAGAAAAGAATTCGGCGTTTATATTCGTCCATCAAGGATCCCAGCAAAGCGGGCGATCGGAGACGCTCAACGTGAGAGTGGGAAATTGGGACAACGAGGAGATGGATTCGATCAGTGGAAGGATAGATGCAACGCAGAAGGAATTGAAGAAGCTCGAAAGTTGTTTTGGAAACTGGGAGCAAATTATATCGATGAAGCAGCGGATGTAAGTGAGAATTGGGATCCCATGATATAAGTGATGGGATCCCAGTACTATGATGGAATCGCAGCATGTAAACTCTCCATGATAATGTGATGACCTATTCTTGATTTTCAGGGATTTTTAACGCATGAAATGGCAAAACAGAATGTTCAGCAGGACCACGGAATTCCTAGTCTTTCTTTGGGACTTCTACCAGACAATCAGAGTCCCAATTCAGGACGTTTCACCCGCTTACTTCAATTTGGGATGCTGATTGGAGTCGGAGAGAGTTACGTTCGTCAGTCGACAATTCGTGTTGTCGCTGAACGAGCGACCCATTTCCAATCCAACAAGG